TCATGACATACATTTAATCATTCATTCTCATTTCATTAGGTTTGATCATAATGCTTCATTCACGTACATACATGCATCACAATGAAGTAATCACCAACATATATCACGCAAACAAGAAATCAAACAATCACCTACCTTGAAATCAAGCTTGAATCCTCTTAAGGCACTTGAATCTTCCCTTTTCGAATTATTTCCGCTTGTTCGTGGTCTAAAAACAACAATTTAATACAAGGATAAAAAAATGAGGCCTAATTACTCGGATTACAATCAACATTATCAACCCAAGGCCAAACCCATGATCCTAAGGTGTAGTTAGGGATTTTTTCCACCATCAATTCCAGTCTACAAATATTTCCCCAACAATAATTGCCCAAGAATCTAAGTTATAGGGTTCAAAATATGGATTAGGGGAGTCAAATTCTTACCTTTAGACTTTAGTGCTAGAAGAGGTGGAAAGTTGTTAAGAACTTACCCTCATTCATCCCTTAGCTCTCAAGAACGAAAATTGCAGAATAATAACATTTTTGTGGTATATTTCAGACTTAAGTCGCGACTGGCCCGCTACGCCGTACCTCGTACCGCCACAGCTGCCCCGCCCTGGCGGGTTGAATACCGTTCTGGCGGCTTGCGCGTAGACAGAACGTCAAAATTAGAGTCTGAAACCCCCATTTCACAACAAACATTCAATTCATGAGAATCAGAAACTACCCGTTCACGCTAAGGTTAATTAACGTCTTAGCTATCTACTCATGTGATCAAAATCATAATTAGATCTCTCATTCCTTACCAGATTTCTCTAGACCAGGCTGACTCCGATCGATTTTGTCCAAATCTGGACTAGGCCAGGAATTCTCAAGTTACTACGAAAAGTTTTCCTGCCCAAAAATTTTCTCCATTGGTTTTTCTATAACGACGGGAGCAGATCGTTACACATAGACTATCCTACTTATTTATTTTGATGTCTTTAATACTCTTAGACTTGTTGTTTTGAGAATAGATGCCCTTATGTGATGACTTTCAGGTTTTGAGGATAATATGTCCTGACTCTAGAGATTTCTTTTACTGAAACGTTAATACGTTTTGGGCTTCCACATTTTGCTTATTTTCGTAAGTTGAACAATTGATATAAGTTGGGGTTGAATTCGTTGGGTTTCCCACTTAGGATGTTAAGTGTGGGTGCCACTCATGACTCGTTTTGGGTTGTGAAATAAATACTGAGACTTTAATTTTTTGTAATAAAAATTAATATTGAGTGCAAATAATTTTTGAGCCATTTAAGTATAATAATAAATAGAAGAGTATAATTGATATATTTATTTATTGTACAATAATAAGTAAGAAGAAAATATGAAAAATAGTCAAAAAACTGAGGAAAAAGATAAATAGAATCCTAGGCCAAAGAGAGGTGCAACTTCATTTTTCTAACATATAGCTTATAATATATGGATTTTTAAGCACAACAATATCTAATAGTTATGAGAAATGTACCATAGATAATATATCTTTCAACCATGGCAAAATTTTAGAATATTGAAATCAAAGCGATACATTGCATTATTGAATTTTTAAAATATTGGAAACATTGAAACTTTAATTTCAACAAAATTAAGTTTCCTACTTCATTTTGATGAAATTGTACTAAACTAATGTGAACATCTCTTGATTATGACCTCTTTCAGAACTCGGGGATGACCTCAAAGGAGGATTACCACCATGGCCCATTCCAGGACTATGAAACGATTTAAACTTGCGATCAACATTGCTAGTTTCAAGATTAGTAATTGTTATAACATGATGTTTTTTCAATTGTTTTCTTGCTTCAAGACATGGTGCAACACAAACTAACATGAAAACCAAAACAACCCAAAGCATTGTTGCAAAACGAGCCATTGATAATTGTTAAAATATAGAAGTAATGGAATGATGAGAAGTGTGAAGTTATGAAGAAAAAAATATGTTATTTATAGGCAACAAATTAGAGATGAAAATGTTTTCAGGAATGTATCTAGAAGTGTAACGCTCAAATTAGGTCAATAGTAATAAATGCAATTGTAAGAAAATAGAAGTGGCATGGAAGGTGTGTAGGTACACATGAAAACGTCAATTTGTCTTGGGAATTGCTTGTTTTACTACCACCTCCATTTCAAATTAATTTCAAATTAATTGAATTGTTGAGACATTTTTCATTTTTCAAATTAACTTAATTGTTTAATTTTTTAGACTACTTTTAGAATGTTCTTCTAATTTTACGCTTCATTAGTTAGTATTGGAATTAGTTATTTATTTATATTTAATTATTTTAATAGGTCAGGTTATTACTTATGGGGTGTATTACGAGTTAGCATGGTTATCGATCGCCACTGGTTCATAACCAGTTAGCTTCCATATTTAATTATATTATTTTATTATCATATTATAAGGTAAGTGGTGATATATTGCCTTAGGTATATTATATTATTTGAATACAGTTAAATTTATGATAATTGGAGGAATTGAGACTCACCTTAGGCCTGAACTTTAGGAAAAAATATCCATATATTTGGATGAGCTTTTGAGTCTAGGCTAGACATAAAGTAATATGGGTCTTTAAAAACGTGCTTACTTACGAATTATGTATACTTGATAGATTGGAAACGTTATGAGACTTTGAGGAAAAGAAAAACATTGGAGAAGTAGCTTGCTTGACTTCGGCTCTTCAGTGGAGGTAAGTTATGGTTTATTCTATGTGATAGATAGACTCTTAATAGTGATTGATAGTCATTGAGTGATATTGTGAATTTTTCTATGTACTTGGTTGTTGTGGTTTGGATAATATATACGTTGTTGTGATTGGTTTGTAATCCCAAGATCACAAAATCCATAATCTTGAACTTGTTCTATTAAAGTGATGCCTTGAATAAATAAGGTTTAATGAAATATTTTTAAGGAAGTGGAAAGAGATGATAAAGAATGAAAAATGAATTAAATATATGGTTGGATTGGATGCCACGAGCCGGTACGGTATTATTGGATCGGGTGTCACGTTCTGACACGGTATTATTAGATCGTGTGTCACGTTTGGACACGTTATTATTGGATTGAGTGTCAAGTTTCGGCACGGTATTATTGAATCGGGTGACATGTTCTAGCACGATAACATCAAAGAAAAATATATCGAGATAACTTAAAGTACTCAATCTCAAAGAAACCTTTTCCCAAATAAGCATGGTGTGGAGGCATGAGTCCTCATGTGTGATCTTGATATTGTTGATTTGATTATGTACTTACTTTAGTGATGTTGTCACCGGTTCATGTTGTTGTTGTTTGTCACCTGCTAAGTGTCATAGTTGATTTTACACTATTACTCACTACATATTAGTTTATATTTTGAGTTGGCCGATGATATCTATTCAGTACATGTTCCCATGTTCTGTCCCCTACTTGTATTTTCTCGTTTTCTTTTATGGAGTGCATCAAGTGTACCATCGACTTCGACTCTCCCTCAACTTTAGCCAGTCTCCAGCTCATCAGATTTCAGGGAGAGCTACTCCTTTTACCTTGTGCTGGATTCTCTCGGTCATGGCATGATGTCCTTAAATTTTTGACGTAGTGTCACGGCCCAAACCCTCGTGATTAACACTCACACTAACCCTCCGGTGGGAGAACCATTAATACTAATAAGCTAACCCTAAAACTAAACATTTATAGATCCAGAAAAAGATTTAAATGCAGAAATAAAGTGGAGTTCCCATAAACTCTGGAAGTCTAACAATTCGTTACTAACACATTGCGGAAAACACCCTTAGAATCTGAAAGCCATGTACCAAAACATCTAAATTTCAACAATCTAAGAAGAGAGTACAACTCCAATTAATATATGAATTAATTAAATAGTCAAAGTCCGAAGGAATGGACTAAACAAGAAAGAGAACTCCATGGCAGCCTGAAAAATTAGCTCACCCTTGAAATCCGATCTCGATCACTACTCTCTTAGCTGAGGTCTATCAGTACCCGCTTGAAGATGCCTTGTACTAAAAAAGAAAGCGCAAGTGCAATATCAGTGCACAATCAGAGTGTACTGGTAGGATCACGTGGCTATCCCAGTAAGCACAACATATACTAATAATCACAACAAGATAAACATGACATGCACATAATGTAAACACATATACCATTATCAATTATGACCAACTTACCATTCCACATTCTCTTTAACAAGTAGTTACGACAATTCAATGGTCCTTTTCATAGAATTCATACCCAAACGGTTAATGTACCGAGACGTGGTACCCGATCCTAATTAGTGTGCCGGATGTGACACTCGATCCCCTATATGCACCGGAACGTGGCATCCGATCCAAGTCAGTTTGTCAAAACGTGACACCCGATCCATTTAATACAACCACAATCACAATTACACTCATATGTACCTTCTCAAAATCATATAATCTAGTGTTGAATCATGACATACATTTAATCATTCATTCTAATTTCATTAGGTTTGATCATAATGTTTCATTCACATACATACATGCATCACAATGAAGTAATCACCAACATATATCACGCAAACAAGAAATCAAACCATCACCTACCTCGAAACCAAGCTTGAATCCTCTTAAAACACTTGAATCTTCCCTTTCCGGATTATTGCCACTTGTTCGTGGTCTAAAAACAACAATTTAATACAAGGATCAATAAACGGAGCTTATTACCTAGATTACAATCAACATTATCAACCCTAGGCCAAACCCATGAACCTAAGGTGCAGTTAGGGAGTTTTTCCACCATCAATTTCAGTATAAAAACCCTCCCCCAACAATAATTACCCAAGAATCTAAGTTATACGGATCATAATACGGATTAGGGGAGTATAATCCTTACCTTTAGACTTTAGTGCTAGAAGAGGTGGAAAACTGTCAAGAACGTACCCTCGTTCACCCCTTAGCTCTCAAGAACGAAAATTGCAGAATAATAACATTTTTTAGGGTTTATTTCTGACTTAAGTCGCGATTGGCCCGCTACGTTGGTCCCCGTCCTGCCACAGCGGCCTTGCCATGGCGGTTTGAATACTGTTTTGGCGGCTTGCGCATAGACAGAACGTCGGAATTAGAGTCCCAAACCCCCATTTCACAACACACATTCAACTCATGAGAATCAGAAACTACCAGTTCACGATAAGGTTAGTTAACGTCTTAGCTATCTACTCAGGTGATCAAAATCATAATTAGATCTCTCATTCCTTACTAAATTTCTCTAGACCATGCTGACTCCGATTGATTTTGTCCAAATCTGGACTAGCCTAGGAATTCTCAAGTTACTCTGAAAAGTTTTCCGGCCCAAAAATTTTCCCCGTTGATTTTTTTATAACGACGGGAGCAGGTCGTTACACATAGACTATCCTACTTATTTATTTTGGTGTCTTTAATACTATTAGACTTGTTGTTTTGAGAATAGATGTCCTTATGTGGTGACTTTCAGGTTTTGAGCATAATATGTACTGACTCTAGAGATTTCTTTTATTGAAACGTTAATAAGTTTTGAGCTTCCACATTTTGTTTATTTTTGTAAGTTGAACAATTGATATAAGTTGGAGTTGAATTCGTTGGTTTTCCCATTTAGGATGTTAAGTGTGGGTGCCACTCATGACTCGTTTTGGGTTGTGAAATAAATACTGAGACTTTATTTTTTTGTAATAAAAATTACTATTGAGTGCAAATAATTTTTGAGCCATTTAAGTATAATAATAAATAGAAGAGTATAATTGATATATTTATTTATTGTACAATAATAAGTAAGAAGAAAAATATGAAAAATAGTCAAAAAACTGAGGAAAAAGATAAATAGAATCCTAGGCCAAAGAGAGGTGCAACTTCATTTTTCTAACATATATCTTATAATATATGGATTTTTAAGCACAACAATATCTAATAGTTATGAGAAATGTACCATAGATAATATATCTTTCAACCATGGCAAAATTTTAGAATATTGAAATCAAAGCGATACATTGCATTATTGAATTTTTAAAATATTGGAAACATTGAAACTTTAATTTCAACAAAATTAAGTTTCCTACTTCATTTTGATGAAATTGTACTAAACTGATGTGAACATCTCTTGATTATGACCTCTTTCAGAACTCGGGGATGACCTCAAAGGAGGATTACCACCATGGCCCATTCCAGGACTATGAAACGATTTAAACTTGCGATCAACATTGCTAGTTTCAAGATTAGTAATTGTTATAACATGATGTTTTTTCAATTGTTTTCTTGCTTCAAGACATGGTGCAACACAAACTAACATGAAAACCAAAACAACCCAAAGCATTGTTGCAAAACGAGCCATTGATAATTGTTAAAATATAGAAGTAATGGAATGATGAGAAGTGTGAAGTTATGAAGAAAAAAATATGTTATTTATAGGCAACAAATTAGAGATGAAAATGTTTTCAGGAATGTATCTAGAAGTGTAACGCTCAAATTAGGTCAATAGTAATAAATGCAATTGTAAGAAAATAGAAGTGGCATGGAAGGTGTGTAGGTACACATGAAAACGTCAATTTGTCTGGGGAATTGCTTGTTTTACTACCACCTCCATTTCAAATTAATTGAATTGTTGAGACATTTTTCATTTTTCAAATTAGCTTAATTGTTTAATTTTTTAGACTACTTTTAAAATGTTCTTCTAATTTTACGCTTAATTAGTTAGTATTGGAATTAATTATTTATTTATATTTAATTATTTTAATAGGTCAGGTTATTACTTATGGCGTAGGTATTAAGAGTTAGCATGGTTCTCGATCGCCACTGGTTCATAACCAGTTAGCTTCCATATTTAATTATATTATTTTATTATCATATTAGGTAAGTGGTGATATATTACCTTAGGTATATTATATTATTTGAATACAGTTAAATTTATGATAATTGGAGGAATTGAGACTCACCTTAGGCTTGAACTTTAGGAAAAAATATCCATATATTTGGATGAGCTTTTGAGTCTAGGCTAGACATAAAGTAATATGGGTGTCTAAAAACGTGCTTTCTTACGAATTATGTATACTTGATAGATTGGAAACGTTATGAGACTTTGAGGAAAAGAAAAACATTGGAGAAGTAGCTTGCTTGACTTCGGCTCTTCGGTGGAGGTAAGTTATGGTTTATCCTATGTGATAGATAGACTCTTAATAGTGATTGATAGTCATTGAGTGATATTGTGACTTTTTCTATGTTCTTGGTTGTCGTGGTTTGGATAATATATATGTTGTTGTGATTGGTTTGTAATCCGAAGATCACAAAATTCATAATCTTGAACTTGTTCTATTAAAGTGATGCCTTGAATAAATAAGGTTTGATGAAATATTGTTAAGGAAGTGGAAAAAGATGATAAAGAATGAAAAGTGAAATAACTATATAGTTGGATTGGGTGCCACGATCCGGCACGGTATTATTGTTATTGGGTGTCACGTTCTGACACGGTATTATTAGATCGGGTGTCACGTTCGAACACGGTATTATTGGATCGGGTGTCACGTTTCGACACGGTATTATTGAATCGGGTGACATGTTCTGGCACGGTAACATCAAAGGAAAATATATTGAAATAACTTAAAGTACTCAATCTCAAAGAAACCATTTCCCAAATAAGCATGGTGTGGAGGCATGAGTCCTCATGTGTGATCTTGATATTCTTAATTTGATTATGTACTTACTTTAGTGATGTTGTCACTGGTAAGTGTCATAGTTGATTTTATACTATTACTCACTACATATTAGTTTCTATTTTGAGTTGGCCGATGATATCTACTCAGTACAGATGATATCTACTCAGTACATGTTCCCATGTACTGTCCCCTACTTGTGTTTTCTCGTTTTCTTTTATGGAGTGCGGCAAGTGTACCATCTACTTCGACTCTCCCTTAGCTTTAGCCAGTCTCCAGCTCATCATATTTCAGGGTGAGATACTCCTTTTACCTTGTGCTGGATTCTCTCGGTCATGGCATGATGTCCTTAAATTTCTGACATAATGTCACGACCCAGACCGTTGTGATTGACACTCATACTAACCCTCCGGTGGGAGAACCATTAATACTAATCAGCTAACCCCAAAACTAAACATTTATAGATACAGAAACAAATTTAAATGCAGAAATAAAGTGGAGTTCCCATAAACTCCGGAAGTCTAACAATTCGATACTAAAACATTGCGGAAAACACCCCAAGAATCTGAAAGTCATGTACCAAAACATTTAAAGTTCAACAATCTAAGAAGAGAGTACAACCCCAACTAACATATGAATTAATTAAATAGTCTAAGTCCGAAGGAATGGACTAAACAAGGAAGAGAACTCCATGGCAGCCTGAAAAATTGGCTCACCCTTGAAATCCGGTCACAGATTAGGGGAGTAAAATCCTTATCTTTAGACTTTAGTGCTTGAAGAGGTGGAAAACAGTCAAGAACTTGGCCTGGTTCGTCCCTTAGCTCTCAAGAATGAAAATTGTAGAATAATAACGTTTTTGGGATTTATTTCCCACTTAAGTCGCGACTGGCCCGCTACGCCGGACCCTGTCCCGCCACAACGTCCCCGCCCTGGCGGATTGCGCGGAGAGAACGTTGGAATTAGAGTTCTAAACCCCCATTTCACAACACACCTTCAACCCATGAGAATCAGAAACTACCTGTTCACGCTAAGGTCAATTTGGGAGTTCTACTCGCCCGAATTCGATTCTATAAAGTCGTACGGGTTCCTTAACGTCTTAGATATCTACTTATGTGATCAAAATCATAATTAAATCTCTCATTACCATATTTCTCTAGACCACGCTGACTCCAATTTCGTCCAAATCTAGACTAGGCTAGAAATTCTCAAGTTACTACGAAAAGTTTTCGAGCCAAAAAATTTTCCCCGTTGGTTTTTCTATAACGACGGGAGCATGTCGTTACACATAGACTATCCTACTTATTTATTTTGGTGTCTTTAATACTCTTAGACTTGTTATTTTGAGAATAGACGTCCTTATGTGATGACTTTCAGGTTTTGAGGATAATATGTACTGACTCTAGAGATTTCTTTTATTGAAACTTTAATAAGTTTTGAGCTTCCACATTTTGTTTGTTTTTGTAAGTTGAACAATTGATATAAGTTGGGGTTGAATTCGTTGATTTTCCCACTTAGGATGTTAAGTGTGGGTGCCACTCATGACTCATTTTGGGTCGTGAAATAAATACTGAGACTTTAGTTTTTTGTAATAAAAATTAATAATGAGTGCAAATAATTTTTGAGCCATTTAAGTATAATAATAAATAGAAGAGTATAATTGATATATTTATTTATTGTACAATAATAAGTAAGTAGAAAAATATGAAAAATAGTCAAAAAACTGAGGAAAAAGATAAATAGAATCCTTGGCCAAAGAGAGGTGCAACTTCGTTTTTCTAACATATAGCTTATAATATATGGTTTTTTAAGCACAACAATATCTAATAGCTATGAGAAATGTACCATAGATAATATATCTTTCAACCATAGCCAAATTTTAGAATATTGAAATTAAAACAATACATTGTATTAATGAAGTTTTAAAATATTGGAAACATTCAAACTTTAAACTAATATGACCATCTCTATAGATGAATCTTTAATTTCAACATAATTAAGTTTCCTTCTTTATTTTAATGAACTTGTAATAAACTGATGTGAACATCTCTTTATAATGACTTCTTCCTGAACTCAGGGATGACCTCAAAGGAGGATTACCACCATGGCCCATTCCAGGACTATGGAACGATTTCAACTTGCGATCAACATTGCTAGTTTCAAGTCTAGGGATTGTTATAACATGATATTTTTTCAATTGTTTTCGTGCTTCAAAACATGGTGCAAGACAGACTAACTATACACCTCCGTCCAATAATAGCCAAAGCATTAATTATACTCATTTCCTTATTAATTGTTAAAATATACATCCTCCGTTCAATAATAGTTGTCCACTATACTATTGGGATGTCCAACAATACTTGTTCACTTTATAAAATCAATGGATAATTTTACACTTAGTTCCTAATTTACCCTTATCATTAATTATACTCATTTTCTTATTACATTTTTCAAGATATTCTATTTATTATATTCAAATGGTGATATGGTAAAATTACCCTTTTATTTATAATTTTATTGGGAATATGCCAAATTAATAATGGACAACTATTTTGGACAGAAGAATATAAGAAATGAAATGAAGAGAAGTGTGAGATTATTAAGAAAATAATAAGGTATTTATAGGCAACAATTTATAGATCAAAATGTTTAAGAGATGTATCTAGAAGTGTAACGCTCAAATTAGGTCAATAGTAATAATTGAAATGGTAAGAAAATAGAAGTGTCTTGGAAATTGTGTAGGTACACATAAAAATGTCAATTGTCCTGGGAATTGCTTGTTTAAAGTCCAATTGTGTAGGTACACACAAAAATGTCAATTTGTCCTGGGAATTGCTTGTTTTACTTTAAACTAGAGAATTTGGCATCGCTTCATGTTTTTATGAAAAATATATATATTTAAAAAATTAAACATGATACAAGAAATAAAAAATCAACTATAGAAATAAGAAAATGATAAAATCACAATACAAATATTTTGTAGAACTAGAGCAATTATATTTTTATTAACAAATATTTTTCAAAATTAAAAGGATAATTTATTCAGGATTTTTTTATATATTATAATGTTAATAGATATAATTCGACTAAACATATTTAAGGACTTTATTTTTTTCTCATTTTTATTAATTGATAAATGTATTGTCTGATGAATCTTCCTTTTAGTAAAAAATAGTAATGAAACTAAAAAATAGGAGGAAAAAGATATAAGTATTTCTATTTCATTTCTTTTTTTTTATATTCAATTCTTTCATTGTCCTTGTTTTCTCTTATTTTTCTTCATCGTCTAAATAAATATTTTTCTCTTATTTTTCATCATCATCTAAATAAATCTCTATTGCTAATTTTGTGTATATATCTTATACTATTATTTTGGTAATTATTTAAAAGTAGACGAAATGAACAAATTATAAGAAAATGTGAATGGTTCTTCACCATAAGAAACACTTAAGAACAACGTATTTCAATATTTAATATGCATTTTTTTTTACCATTAGTAGTAAAATTTAAATTTATGTTGTCTTAGTTAGATGTGTTCTGAAAAGTTACAAATAACTAATTTGAGCCTAAATGACAATGTAATTTACCATAATTAAAAAAAGTTATAAGAACCTAAATTCAAAATAAAATAAAATATCGAACATATGAAAAAAAAGTAAGTAAAAAGAGAAAAATTACAATACATTTT